TTTGATCTTTGATCAATCCAAAAAAAACTCTTTAAACTCCATGTTATTTAAATATTTGTTGTTTTTTTGTTATCAATTCTTATTTATCTTCTATTATGAAACTGAATCTCAGATGATATTTAAAGTATGCATATATTATATCATTAAGTATTATTGAGTTATGCTCTAATCCAAAAACAATGAAAGAAATTTTAATTTTTATATTCTCTCGAGTAAAATCATGAATGTCTTGTCTAGAGATTTCATGCTGAAAAAGTTAATATGCTAATTTATTTGTTCATAAAAAATACTTTCTGATTGCGATGCAAACGTCATTCGTGCATACTTTAGTGTATCAATTAATAAAAATAAACGTTGTGTCTATTTAAAAGTAACAAAGGCATACACTCTCCTATTTTAATAGAAATGAAAATTATTTAATTGAACACAATTATTTTTGTTTCTTATTTGTAATTGTAAAAAGATGTAGCACAAGTTTTTATGCAAAAACTTTTGTTTACTTTAATTCGCTGGAAATTAATAAATTATTTATCAAGGAACATGCGATGACGGAAGTATAAAGAAATTTTAAAGGTCACGTAAGAAAAGACAAGCTTAATAAGTCGCAAATTATTCTGTTAAGTTTCAAAATAATTAAACATTTCTCTAATTGAATACTATAAAATTTTTGCGTTTTCAGAAAACTTGCTTGATTTAGAAATATTATTTGTAATAATTACTTGATATTTCAATATCATATATGAAAGTTATATTAGAATAGTAGTCATCCATAAATGATAATGAAACTCAATATTGTTGACAACTTCAATCATATTGCAATTCTTATCTACATATTGTAGAGAATGTGTTAATCATTGATTAGATTCATAGTATAATAATGATATTTATTCAAAATTCAAGTTCTATAACAATAATATGACATAAATAATTATTTTTATGTCTATCATCTTCAAATATATGAACCTTATTTGCATAGTTGAAGCTATGTATCATAACAATATTTGACTTTTTTTTGACATAATTTAATATTATTGATATGTTCATAAGTACATGAAGTTCTATATGTCACTTATCACTATCGATTAGTCGAATAATAAATCAACATGATACTTGTATATTGTGACTAAAAATTTCAATATATACGTTCTCATCATACATTAAACTACTGACTCCCATCGAACTTCTTTGTACATAAATCTGACTGTATCACTTCTTACGTTAGAAAATGGCACTAGGTTCTTCAGTAGGATGCTCATATTATTCGTCATTGATTGCATTAGTCATTTCTAAATTGCGCTTATTATTTTATCTTAGATAGATTATAATCTAAGCTGTTTTTTTTTTGATGAAATTTCTCTAATGAATATACTCATCCAGCACGTACGACTTGTTACCATAAATATTCAATATAGTATTTATACTCATTTCTTCATAGGACATTTAATAAAACAATTATGCCCTGCTAGGTACAAAAAATAAATAAAAACAGAAGTCATGCCTTTATGATTTATGCATTTCTTTTTCCTCTATGTTTATTTCTTGAATGAATTTAAAATATTTGTTTAGATATAGCTACAAATTGACTGCTATTTTAAACGATAAACACACGAATATGTTTAATCTATCCATTTTTTTTGTTTATTTTGAATTTTATACATATATCTTTGTATTTTTCAATTATAATTTTATATTTCATATGAAACAGATGTAGTATAATAATACTGACACAGAATACAAATCTATGAGTATTTTACATAAATTAGTATCGTACAAAAAAATTGCACAAAAGAGTACTCTTTCAAAGTTTAATATTACAGAAGACGTAATCAAATGTCTTATTCAGATCTCAATAGAAAGACTGCTAATAAGTAACAAAAAACCATAAGTATTCACAAGATTTTCTAACATGAATACTATATGAGTACTTGTCAATGAATATCTTCATTGCAGGAATCTTTCAGTTTAATATATGTCATATTTGGATTGAAATAATTAGAATTCTTTGTAAAAATTAAGAAGAAGAATAATTATCCAGAATACAAACATTTGTATCGTTTTGTTATTATTTCAATTAAATATTGATCATATTCAATTAATAGATTGATATCTTTTAAGAAAGAAGTTCATTATTATTTGATAATCTTTTTTCTCGTTGATTTTTTGATAATGATGTATCAGTACTTCTTCTTATTGAACGTGTTATTATCCATTCATGATAAAATCTATGATTAAGTGGTGTATCATGCCAACACCAACATCGTCGACTATATAAATTAATCCAAAGTAAAACAAGAAAAACGATTATCATAAAAACAATGCCTGATATATAAATAACATTAACTACAGTACGTGTACGAACTGGTGATAAAGATGATGATAATTGTGATGTGATAAAAGAATATAATTTCGTGCTATTATCAAATATTTGTTTTTGTTGTTGTTCATTCATTTTGTTTTTTTTTTGCTCAATTATTATTTAAATTTTATCGGAATAACGTCATAAATAGTTAATAAAGTGTTTGATCGATCGTTTTGTTACTAATTGTATCATATTCTCGATGCGAACGTTTGAGAAAAAAGAAGAAGAAGAAGAGAAGAAACCTTCACCGAATCACACTATATTGGTTTTTGTATGCCTGGATACTTATATATATATATATATCAAAATAATGCCGATCGTTGATGAAAAATAAGTTGTGAGTAATGTTGTCTATTCTAATTTTCTGTTTGATGTGTATGCTTATATGTTGTGCTCTTCTATTAGTTCTATTTTCTTTTTTTTGGCAATATATATATATATAATGAAAAAAGAAAAAAAAAGGAACATATTAATAGAGAAAGACGAAGAAAAAAGAGCAAAGAAAAAAAAACACTCTTCATATAACTGACAGCAACTTCCTTCTCTTTTTTTTTCTTTCTTTGCATTTTTCTTTGTGTATTCTAGTGACACAAGTCATATAAACGAAAAAATAAGACTATATAAATGAATGACATTGATAGAAAAGATTTAAGTGAATTGATATTATAAATAGTTTTGTATACAAACATATTGTGATATTTTTTTTAGACATATATTCATCTTTTATGCGTCCGACTATTCGAATTATAATAGTACTATTCTGTTACTAATGAGAGTATTGTCAATAGTTTCGTGACAATTTTCTCATTAATTTCTTTTTTTTTTTTATTGTTTGTAATGATCTACGAGGCGTATATGCATATGTCAAGAACTATTGTTCTTCTTGTAAAGAAAATAAAAGTAACTTTTACATACAATTGGCCAATCTCAAAAAAAGAAAAAACTATTATTTCAACGATTAAAAATCGAACAAAACAAAGTCTCGAGAGCAATCAAGTATTGATTATTTTTTAACATTTTTTTTTACATATACATGTATCTAAAATGAAGAATGTTTCAAGCAAATTCAGAAGGAATTGTCAGAGAACCAAGTTGATGCCGAGAGTCTTTGAAAAAAATACATTGATTAAATGAGTATTCAAAGAGTACATGAATTGCTTAAACAAATAGTCAAAAAAGAAGGAATGATTATTTCACAAAATTAAAATCAAATAAAATTGGCGCACTTATAGGGGAATGTTATGTGACCTGACCCAAATCGAACTGTGATATTATCTACTTGTCTCAATTCTTGTTTTTTTTTTCTTTCATTGCTCTGGTTAAAAACAAACGATATGTTCCAGATACTCTATATTTGGGACAACAGGATGGTATGATAAAATTTTTGCATGTCTGTCTTTCTTCGCTCGTGTATACAATCTACGACCTTCATATCACTATTGAAAAGATAATGCATTCGTTATGCATCTTTGTCCAATGTCAATGAAGTAGAAGAAAAGATCATGCAATATATAACTTATTGTTCTACGAAACTTTTCGATGCTCTCTTATTCCCATACAAGATAAAAAAAAGAACACATTCAAAATGCTTTTTTTTTGTATCAGCAAAATGTTTAGACTTTATTTTTGTAGAAATCTAATCATCAACTAAGACTATAACAGAGGATTATTTGACTTCTTAAAGCAATAAAAGAAAGAAAGATTCATTGAATAATCAATGAAATGATAATATCTTATTGACAAATTTTTCTTTCTGTTCTATGATATAATTGAAGATAAAAATCTTAATTTTCAACACAAATATTTTACAGACGATTTATTACTATGGAAAGTTTCATTTACTATTTCTAAATATAGAAATGTAACGAATTGATCAAGATTTATTTAATCTATTTAAACCATTAGTGTTAATCTGGACTTATCTATTTATAGCATATAATAAAATTGCGGAAAAAAGTTTTAGCAACAACATACATTTTATGTTTGTCTCTAGAGTTAATTACTTAGTTCAAATTCAAATTATTATTTTACTAACCAATGAAGTTTTTCATATCTAAATTTCATAGATGAATTGGTATGACAAGATTTAAAAAAAAACATATTAGACACGGTAGTTTTCACGTTCAAAAAACTTTTTTAAAGTTGAATAGAATTCTACAAATTGGATAAGCATTTTTTTGCTAACAATACAAAAAAATCTTTCGATAGCATACTGACAATATTTTGAACATATACTAAACTTGCATGATTTCTGTATCGTTAATTGTTTGTAATTTTATTATATAATTATTTTAAATACTCTGTCATAATAACTATTCACATCAACTAGATAATAAGGTCGTTAAATAATATTTATATGATTATCGAAACAATGTTACTTCACAAAATATTACGCCTATATTGACTTGTTAAAAATAATATTAATTTTTGTCATCTAGTTTTTGACATGTTTTCATATTCCTTCTCAAACAAATCATTCATGTGTAACCATACAATCAAACATCAATAGTGAGAAAAGATTCAAAGATATGTATTTACAATTATGATTCATATATTTATTTAATTAAACAACTATTTTTCGTATGGCCTATGTTTTTTTCTAATATATTACGGTCTATAAAATATTGTATTGTGTAATAATATGTATGATAACGCAGCTTATGGTGGAAATTGGATACCAACAACAAATGCTGCAAGGTATATAAGCAAGATATACAGATTTTTTTTTTTATAATTTTTTTTTTTTTTGTCTATTTTTATAGACGTCTTGATCCATATAGACGAATATATTCTATATTAGGTTGTTTTATTGCTATTGGTTTTGTTTTGATTGTTATTATTGTTCTATCATTAATTCCTGTATATATATCTCGTAATTCTTCAAGAACGAATAATAATAATAATATTCGAGTGTCAAGTAATTGTTTCTTTTTTTCTTTTTATATTTAATTGATAAATAATTTCTTTTTTTGAAAATTTAGAAATTTCTATTTATGGTTATAACCTTCGAATTCAAGTTCCATTTACTAACTTCAATCCTCAAACAATTCTTTCACAAACGAATAATCGCCAAAGATTACAAGCAGCACTTACATCTATGATACAACAAGATTCTCTAGTCAATGGTTCAATTATTGAAATAAATACATCATCAACAAAAACTAAACGTCAATCATCTGATTTATTTAATATAACATTTGATTTAAAT